TTATTGTTGTTTTATAATTGTTGTTTATAATTTGTACAATTAACCTCCCTGTGGTTCGACCCCGGTCTTGCCGGGTTATTTATTACTTCGACACTCCTGCACTTGAGAGAAGACATCAACCTTTTAGTCGTGTCATTAAATCCGGTAAGATTTATGATTATTAACCAGGTCCGCCTAGATGCAAAATAAAGGTCGCACATCCAACCTAAAAACATATTTTATTCATTAAGTAAGCATAAATAGGTTTTCCACCTAGTCTCAAAAGGATCTCAAATTTACCAATAATGGTCTTTATAAAGACAATGTAGGGGCATTGCAAGGAATGGTTAAAACACATATGCATACCATTATCAAGCGGGCATTCAAATATAAGTTGGATATTTCACACATTTGATTCTTGATCAATAGTTATAAGATATATCTCAAATCCCCCACCTAACATAAGAGTTTGTGTATGCTTCAAAAAATAAAAGTAAGTGATGCATAAGGCATTAGTCTATATCTAATATACAAATATATGTGCCATATGTATAAAAGAATGCATGTTGATAAAAATGATGGACATAAAGTAGTAAGATTTAAAGCATAAAAAGAAAAAAACGTACAAACTAAAAAAATAAAATACAATAATCAAGCAAATAAACAAAGTTTAGCCCACAAAAATTCTCAATGGAGTTGTTATTTTGTCACACGTATGCGGTGTTGCAGCAATCGTCCTTCCAAATTAGGGTTATCATGATAAATATGGGTGGAAAAGATAAGAAAATCTTAACATTTATCAATAAAAAAAAAAGAAAAAGAAAAAAGGAGTCTCATCTTTGTTTATGTAGGTTGCAGTTAAAGTATGTTGCTTCTGGGAGATGAGCACTATTACTCCTCTGTTATGGCCGATGGTGAGGAAGTTATGGGTAAGAACAGGAGATAAATGGTGACAATAATATAAAGGTAAAGAAGTTGTTATAGAGAAAAGAATGCACCTTGGAGACGGGTTTTGCGATGGAGGACTGGCACTATAAATTGTGGTGTTTTGCTATATTCGAGCCATGATTTTCTTTTGTTCAATCAAAATAATTCCCCCTTGACATTCTGCACACACATACAATTTATCTCTTTTTTTCCCCCACTTTCCACATTATTTTATGTGGAAGTCCTTCCCCTTTCCAAGCCTACCTTTTAATTATATTAATATTAAAGTTCCAAGTTTAGTTTATTTTTTAGCCAGTTATTTTGGCATGGTTAGAAAGCATCTTTAAGGTTGCAAGATGTTTTGGCTAAATTTAAAGGTGAGATGTTAGAGAAAGTGTTAGGCATGCTTTTATTTATTTATTTATCTATAATGGGTAAGAGATAAATAATAGAGTAGAGCTAATTGGCCATTCATAAAGGGCTAAAACCCTTTTGTGTTTTCTATTATGATTGGGTCCATCTTTTATTATTATTATTATTATTATTTGAAAGAAAAATGTAAATTTAGGGGAAAAATATAAAATATGATTATGATAGTAATCACAATTATGATGGCGCTAAAGCTAAAGTGGATGTGAAAAAAAAATAATATTATCATCCAAGTTCCATATAGGATAATGATGATATTGTAAAGATTATGAGTGCATTAGGTTGAAGGAATGAGGAGGTAGAGGTTTAGGGTGGAGTAGTCTATATGGAGGTAATGGATCTATTTATTTTAGAAACAAAGAGTTTTTACTATATCATACTAAATACATGAACAAATCATAGTATTAATATGGATGATTGATATGTTAGGTTCATAAGTAAGTTGTTTATCAGGAAAAAAAACAAAGGTATAATGGCATAATCATTGGAATAAAAGGTAAAATAGTAGTAAAAATGTATATTGTAATAACCATTGGGGTTGAGATCGGGTCTGAAGTTTAAAAATTAAATTAAATCAAGAGTAAGGTGTCAATGGATTTGGCCAATACCAAATCTAGGATGCTTTAAAATTAAGATGAGAACAAGTATGAAACTTTAAGAAATCAAGGCCAGGTGTCTAATGTTCAAACATAAAAAGAGTTCAAATGCTTAAAGAGTTGGATTCTCTTGAAGATCAGGTCGAAACAAGGGTGTTTGAGAATCAACTAAGATAGAGTATAAAAAGCCAACAGGTCAAGAAAAATGGGATTGAGTAGTGACTAAATTAAGAGTGCCAAGGTCTCGGGTTGATGACACCCAAGGGTTAGTTCCTAACTATTTGAGGTTTTGATAAGACTGAGTCCAATGGTTGAGTTCAAAACACCAAATATGAAGAACTCATTTAAGAGTGTGGTAACTTCTGTTTTTTGATATTTTAAAAAATGAGTTTGCCTTGAAATAATATTAAATTGATTTTTTTAGTGTGTTTTTTTTTTAAATTTTGATGCGCTAATATCTATAATAAAAAATCTAAAGAAAATAATTATTTTGACAAATTTTCAAGCGAAAAATATTCTTTAAAAGCACCCTAACCACCATACTAAAAACACATTAAGGTAGTATTTGTCATTGTGGTACGTGACTTTTCAAAGTACTTTTAGTTTGGAAATGCATTAAAATAATATTTTTTGAATCTAATTTTGATCTCAATGCATCAACATGATTTAAAAACATTAAAAAAATAAAAATTATTTTGAAATAGTATTTTTGAAATTTTTTAGAAACATCTCTGGCTAAAGTACATGAAGATTAACAAAATGTTTAAAAATATAATAGCGATTTTTTTTTAAAGTGCTTTTTACTTGAATATACATTAATTTTTTAAAATTATTTTTAATATTAGTATATTAAAATAATCTAAAAATACTAAAAAATATTAATTTAGAATAAAATTATTTTTAAAAATACTTTTAAAATAAAAAAAATCAACCCAAATTCATTAGCTTCAGAAATAGTGAATTCCATGTTGCCTTGAAGTTATATTTAGAAGAGAGATTTGGGCACTCGAGCCGCATCTTGCAACGAAATCACCATTCTTATGGATGCATGTACAAAAGATGTGATTATCGTCGACAACAGGCATGCACACATTATATAATTATTACAATACTTAAACATGGATTATCATTATCATCAAAGGTTAATTCAACAAGCCATGGGCCTCAACCAAATTCCCTTTTAAGAGCCCAAGAACCGCCATTTGCAGAAAAAATACGCCACTCTCTTTCTAAAACCCTACACTCTAAATACTACAGTCATTCCCTGGACCTTCATAATCCCTAATCCGGATCTCCTCCAACAATGGCGGACTCCCTCACTTCTCTCTCTACCTCTGTCTCCACCTCCTCCACCAAGCTCCGCATCCGGATCTTCCGTCACGATGTCGTCTCCCTTCTGGCCAACGCAGAGATGACAGTCGAACTAGCATCGACGTTAGTGGACACCATTTTCCGGACTTTATTCATATACGATGATCGCCGATCGAGAAAGGCAGTCGATGATGTGATTATCAAGTCATTAAATGAGGTTATCTTCATGAAAAGTTTCGCCGGCGCGGTGGTTCAGGCAATGGAGAAGCAATTGAAAGTTCAATCACATGTTGGATGTTATAGGCTACTTAACTGGTCCGTTTTGTTGTTAACTAAAAGTCAATTCAGTTCAGTTTCTAAAAATGCAGTTTCTAGAGTAGCTTCTGCGCAGGCCGGATTGGTTAATCTTGTGATGCAACGATCATTTCGGGAGCGAAGAGCCTGCAAAAGGATATTCTTTCACTTGTTTTCGCAGGTTTAGTGAAGATGATTGTTAATTGGTGCTTGTTTGATTTTCCATTTTTTTTAAATTTGATTTTATTGATTTTAAAGTTGAATTTTGATTGTTTGTGATAGTCGCCCGATATTTATAAGATATACATCGAGGAACTAAAGAATGGGCGGGTTGCATATAAAGAAAGTCCGGAGTTAATTCGGTTACTACTTGAGTTTTCGAGTGCATCAAGTTCTCGTTTTGAGCAATGCAAGGTTAGATATTGTTTGATTTTGGGTTATTGTGGTGTTATGGGATGTTAGTTGTTGTTTGTGGTGTTAGTTTTTGATATTGTTGTTATTTCATTTGTGCAGTCTATATTTATGGATATATACTCAAAAGCGGTTTTGAATGCTAGAGAAAAGCCAGTAAAAGAGCTTAGTGAGTGTTTTCATCCGCTGTTTAGACATTTGTCACATGAGGATTTTCAGAATGTAGTGTTACCGTCATTGGTGAAAATGTTGAAGCGGAACCCTGAGATTGTGTTGGAAGCGGTTGGGG